CAATGAAATGACTGAGTGATCATATTTTGGTAAAGATCTTAAGTTTTAACTGTTATAACACCACTGTTTTACATTATCATATATTCACACTGTACAGTACAATATAAACTCACATATAAATATAATTTAATCTTGCACTTACTCATAATCTCCCACTCACATATTTATAGATCACTAACTATATCAGAAAATTTGGTAGAATTAGTTTATTTGAGGAATTTCCTCAAACAGGGAGGATTGTAGGATTTAAGAAAGTTTATTAATTGGACAATCTGTTTCATAACAGGGCCCAAGCAAATACGTCTTTTTAACTTACAATGACATGCAGAGAATGTGATTAACAGAACTTGTTTTTAACAGGTTCTGAGTATTTGCAGATGTTTTTTATGCATGGAGCATGTTAAGCTGACCCGAGAATAATTTTTTTATCTGTATCCACAAGTACCAAGAATGTAAGAATGTCTGGGCAAAAGACCAAATGTTTATATAAGACCCGGTTTCCCGTCAGAATTGTTTTCATCAGCTAAGTGGAGTTTGTCCTGTGTCAGGCTGACCTGAGAATAATGTGTTTACAGTAAAATCATTGTGTGCGTCAGAGACTCTGGAAAACTTCTGGCAATAACGGCTCATGTTCGTGTGCTATTTCAGAAGTGTGTAAATGCTCTGAAAACGTCCCATCGGAGGGGTTCTGTCCTCCCACAGAAAATTTTGTGTAATAGATATCCTGCATTTTTGTGTATTTTAACGGGTTGTTAAACATCTACGTTTACTTACATTTGTAAACACTTGATTCAATTACTATTTTTGAGAGCAACAACAGGTTGTCTGTGAATAGAGCGGCTCCGACGCCCTTCCCTCCTCTCACTTCACAGTTCTGAGCTGAACTCTTCTATGCTGAATTTGTTGCTCCTGCTCAAATGTCAAAGTGGCACCTTTTGAAGCATCTGAAGGCTTCAATTCTCAGTTGTCAGACAATCCATCCATTTATTTTATGAAAGTAAATTGGACTGTCTTTTTGACATTTTGATTGCTGTTATTTTGACCATCTAGCGCCGTTATTTTGAAATGTGCTGTAATGTGAATAACACATCAAATATTTATCTCTTTGCATTTTTATTTACTTTTTACAGTAAGCTTTTTTTATTTATTATGTCTGAAATGTAGTTCAGCCACATCTGCAGCAGTGTGCGTGCCGTATAGAGCTGTCTGGAGACGCTGCTGTGCATAACATGCACTGTCTGCATGCACTGGATTATTGTAACAGTCTGTTTACATGTCTTAATAAGAGGGAGTTTGCGCGTCTGCAGGTAGTTCAAAACACAGCTGCACGCCTGCTCACTTGCACTCATAAGAGGGAACATATTACACCCATCCTGAAAAGTTTACACTGGTTGCCTGTATCTTACAGGATGCACTACAAAATCCTGGTACTGACCTTTAGAGCTTTGCATGGACAAGTGCCAGTCTACATTAGGAATCTCATCCAGCCTTATGTTCCGACTAGGAGCCTCAGGTCGTCCAATCTAAACTTGCTGATGGCTCCTCGGACCTTTTTTAAGACTCGAGGAGACAGATCTTTTCAAGCTGTGGCGCCTCGCCTCTGGAATGAGTTACCTTGTACCATTCGATCTCTGGATTGTATAGATACTTTTAGGACACAACTTAAGACCTACTTTTTTAAACTTGCTTTTTAGCGTAATACTGTGTTTTATTGTTTTGTATGTTTGTTTTAATTTATTATTTTATTTTGTGCAGCACTTTGTGACCCTGGTCTGTGAAAAGTGCTATAGAAATAAAGTTTACTTACTTACTTACTTACTTACTGTCCTGCTGAATATGTTGGATGAAGATGAATTCATCCTCGCAGGACATGCCATCTGCATCTCAGACACAGTGCTCTAACAGACACAAGCTGCTTATCATCCATGAACATGAAATACATTTTCTTGTTTATTCTTTTGAATAAATTATCATTTCTGTTGTTGAACGGATCAATTCAGCAGCTCCATGTGAGATGCAGCCCCCCCCCCCCCCTTAAGTGATCGGGGGGGTCGGAGAGGAGGGGAGAGGGAGTGTTTTTCAGTGCGTAAAGCCTCCAGTATACTTGCATGTACATCAGTCTGCCGAGGTCCACGCGTACCGAATTAAACTTGAAGCGGACGCCCTCAGGGCATGTCCATGAAGAGCTCAATTTTTACGACCACTCATGCGTACTCCGTGTTGCACAATAAACTGCCCGGCAACGGACTGTTTTGTATGCGACACCAATGTATTAAATTTCCCTTCTTCATCCCTGATCTGGCCTTTTCTTTTGTTTTGTTTTTCCAAGAGGCAAGTGATCTCTTCCTCCTCCTCTGTTGAAGCCATGACTGAAATTGTGAGAAATGAAGGAATTTATCATGAGCGAATTAAAATCAGTCCAGCGTGGCTGCGGGAGGGTCTGGATATTTCCTTGTGCACTGTAAACCCTAATAAGTTCACAGAACTCAAAAATTATTTTGTAACAGATTACATATTAATATTTTATTGATGTTTTTAAATATTTTAAGTTTACATAAAATAAAAATTACATGTGCAGTTGTCTTAAATTATCTCAACGTTATCTTATAAATATTGATATTTCTCAATCTATGATTAGGGAGTACTTCACTTAAATTTTTCAATATTTTCAACTCATATAATGCTTGAAATAGACTGAAATTTTTCTATATTACTGAACTCAATCTGGGGAACATGCACTCAAAATTAACCCTATAATGAAATACTGAAGTGACAACACAGTGACAATTTAACAACTTTTTTTATTCAATACAATGTGCTTTTTAAAAGGCACGAATCAGTCAAAACAAAGTGCTTGTCATAAATTAAAACAAATGGAAAAGGAGATGACTCCAGCACCTATGATAAAATCTCCCAAAGGATTCATGATAAAATTCTAGATTATAAGTATAATCCATCCTCAACAACGACAACTATTAGAATGTGGAGCCATTTAACACTGTTTAAAAACATTTTGGCACTTACTGCAACTTAAAACAAACAAACAAACAAACAAACAAACATTCAAATAAAGTACTTGTTTCTACTGTGCCGTACTTCAACTGGCAACATCAGGTAGTGCATCAAGGTAGGCATTAGGCAACAGAATATTAAACATGTATAGTGCATGAATTGAACAGTCGTTTCCCACAAGTTATTCAGTGCATAAACTTTAAGCAATACGGCAATGATGTGATATTTATCTATGAACAATCAACATATTAAATCTGAGGCAGGAGGGAAAAAAAATACACTTCCTCAATACTCATTTCAACAAATAGTCCATTCTGAGTGATTCACTCATTGAACAAATCATTCATCAGCGTCAGGAGACGCTCTTTTAGTGGTTTGTTGTCCTCAAGACACATCACAGCTTTTTGGATAAATGTGAATGTAAGCTCAAGATTCTTGGGGTACTGTAGGTCTAGCGCATAGATGTACCCAAAGAGCAGGAGAAATGAGTCAGCCAGATTTGTGGGACCACTCAAGTATTTCATCCTCCACAACAATACAGATGCTCTCAGGGCTGAACAGGGCTGCATCATCTGTGACGACTGTCAGAAGAGCCACCGGAGTGTCAGTGAGGTCTGGACCATCTGCTGACTACAAAACACAAATACAAGAATGAGTTCAGTCAGTCCCTCAAGGATACAAATCATGCTAATGATGTCTAGACATTACTGTCACTTAGCACTTTGGACTTAGACTGCAACTTAGCTACATGTTTAACCAATTGTCTTTACATATGCTTATATCTTATGTTAGTTTCAAACTTATCTGTTAGCATACTTTTTGTTTAGTGGAATTTACACTTACCTTTTAATTTATGTGATTTCTACATGTCGGTTTGCAAAATAACAAGTAAACTTCATAAACAGGTCCTATTCCAGAAAGGAGGTTCAACAAACAAAGTTGAGCTCGTGCCTGACAACTAGTAAAAAGCCACCATTAATGGAGCTCCGATACTGTGATTCACCGTGGCAACAGGGGAGTGTTGATGTGTTTTCTGGAGGGACAACACATCAACTGAGAGTTCAGAGTATAGTTAGTTTTATTTTTTATCAGACCAGTGCTGTGTGTTAGTACCTTGACATGTTTCAATTACTTCCTGCAATCTTCATCATGTTACTGTGACGTGTCTGCCAGCTGATTTATGCAGGGTTAAAATCAGCTGGCAGACACGTCACAGTAACATCACGTGACTTCTGATGAAGATTGCAAAAAGTAATCGAAACGTCAAGCACTGGTCTGATAAAAAATAAAACTTTAAGTATAATATTGTGTAAACAAAATGAACCTGTTTGGAATATCAGAGTTCAGAGTTTGTTGAACCTCCTTTCTGGAATGGATAACAAAGTTTTTCTCTCATCTCGGGGTTCACTCCGAGTTTTCACATAACCTGTTTTCTGGTTCTCCTAGAGTTCTTTAAGTGATGTCATATGTTTAAGCTGACTGAATATCTAGGCAAAGGGATTGATAGTGAGGCCAGTACACTTACGTTACAGGTCCTGAAAAACTTGGAGGCATCTTCACGCAGGTATACAGGAAGTGCATGAAGGATGAGGGCCCGTCTCATATTTACATCATGTTGTTCCTATAGACAAAAAATATCCATTACAATATTATTATATTATATATTACACAAATACAGAGCAAACTTTTTAATCCAAATTAATAACTTTCTATTGTAAATAATAACTCACAAAGGAAAAACCTTAAAATTGTAAATCAAATTTTATGAAAACAGTATTTATTAGGACTTCTTCAAATTGAAGCTGATAAAGTATATTTTTAAAAGGTACTTCTTTCTTTTAGAATACATCTTGTCAAGACCTCTATTTCTGATGAGATGACAATGTGTTCATGGCATAATCCCCTAACCTCAGGGCACAGTTGAGGCACTTTACACTGTGGCAGCTGTCTCACAGTTGTTTCTGAATCATGCAAAGTTAAATATTCACCTGAAGGTCATAAATCCTCATGAGCTTGGTTAGCTCCTCCGCTATCTTGCCAGTCTTGGTGGCCTTGTCTCTGAACAAGGTGATGAATTTAGGCATGTATTTGTCCAGCTCCTTGTAGAATTGATTGCGCAGGTTAACGTTGTTGATTCGTTGTTGATGCATTATGGGAAATGTAGTTCATCCAGGAAACCCGCTGAAAATGTTACACCTTTGTAAGTTGAAGTAACATAACGTATTTGTCACATTGAACAACTTCTGAAGTTACAATAACAAACATTCACTGTACACATTGTACAAATGTATTCCCAGCTCCAAATTTAAGACTATTTATCAAAATTCAGTTTTAAAAAAACAAACAAAAAAATGTTAGCTTACTTACCAAATCAGGGCTGATGATAAGACCGCGCTTAGGAAAACAAGGGCAATAAGAATGAAAAAAACTGAGGTGCTGGTGGTTTGAAGCGGCGGGGTGGGGACAGGGGAATGCACATTGCCAACAAATAAAAACAAATTAAACCGTAGTCCACATCCTCACAGGCTGGCCAAAACTTCTCCGCATCGAGGCAAATTCAAGATGGCTGACTCATCTTACCTGAGGGAGAGATAAGCCCCACCCACCAGAACGTCATGACACTATGGTTCCTAAGCCTTTTGAGCGTTCCACAAATTAGCTATAAAATATTGAGCCCTATTCAATTAAAGTGGCATAAATCTCAACAGAGCTCAACACTTTAGTTTGGTCAACTCCTTAACGACATTTGACTGTTGTGACTTTATTAGTTATGAGCTAGTACAACTGTTTGGGATTACAGTGTGGGCTGGTCTGATGCCTGGGGCTGCCATCTCTTGTTTTTTTTGTGACATGTCAATCAATCCAGTAGGAGTGTCAACAAATGACCAATCGGCGACCTCAATTTGTCCCAAAGGTAAACGCCCCTTGTCTGCGGAGCAGCTCCTCAGCCGCTCAGGGTGGACATTTGAGTACGACGTCTCAACCCTCTGCCGACAGTGCGCACAGTTTTCGCGCAGCTGACAGGACGCACGAGCCTTAAATGTGACCATCCTGTCGCTCCGTCCTCACCCCCATACACCCCCCACCTCCTCCAGAGGCTGCCCCTCTCCTGCTCCTCCCAGCCTGGGCAGGAGTGTGTGCAGCCTTCACCACTCTCTGCAAAACTGTTCTTTCTGCAGAGGATGATCTCCACTGCACACCTGTAGAAGGAGGTGAGGACTGAGCTTCCCAGACCAGCTCACCTCAGCCGCCTGAGGAAGTAGAGTCTTTCTTGATCAGGCTGGTAGTGTTATTGCCCCAGCTGAGGTTGTCATTCAGGTGCACACCTAAGTGCTTGTACCTGGAGACCACTTCTACCACAGATCCTCCTATGTTTGAGGGGGTAGCTGTGTTTGTTCTATCTGAATTCCACGACCATCTCCTTCACATTGATGTGAAGGTTGTTCTTCCTGCACCAGCTCTCCAGTTGTTCCACCTCTTGCCTGTAGCTGGACTCATCATTGTTTGTGATGCATCCCACCACTACTGTATCGTCTGCAAACTTTACAATATGGCAGCCTGGATGTGTAGGTGCACATCTATACGTGAGCAGAGTGAACAGGACGGGGCTCAGCACACAGCCCTGAGGGGAGCCAGTGCTGACGGTTATGGTGGAGAAGGAGAAGTTGTGGATCCTCACAGACTGTGGTCTAAATGTTAAGAAGTCTAGGACCCATAAATATATACACTACATTGCCAAAAGTATTTGTTCACCCATCCAAATTATTGGAATCAGGTGTTCCAATCACTTCCATGGCCACAGGTGTATAAAAATGAAGCACCTAGGCAAGCAGACTGTTTTTACAAACATTTGTGAAAGAATGGGTCGCTCTCGGGAGCTCAGTGAATTCCAGTGTGGAACTGATAGGATGCCACCTATGCAACAAATCCAGTCGTGAAATTTACTCACTCCTAAATATTCTACAGTCAACTGTCAGCTGTGTTCTAAGAAAATGGAAGTGTTTGGGAATGACAGCAACTCAGCCACGAAGTGGTAGGCCATGTAAACCGATGGAGCGGGGTCAGCGGATGCTGAAGTGCATAGTGCGAAGAGGTGTTAAAGACGGGAGCTGGCCGCGTGCCACCGGATCCGGAAACCCCCTCCAGCCCACGTCCTTACCCCCGGCTCGAACCTTCCTCAGAAGTGGTAACTATACTAATCAATAAATCAAGGAAACGTCAATTAAGTTTTATCAAATTATATTAGAAAAGGCAGTAAAAGATTACAATTCACAGCGCTGGACTCTATTCAGTCTGTGATGCCACAGACCCAGAAGCAGAGCCCCAATGTCTCGTGTCATTATTAATTTATAGAGCCCTAGACTCCGCCTTTCGCAGAAGGGGAAGCTCAACTTGTCAGTGTATGAGGGGGCGTATTTAGCTAAGTACCATGCATAAATATCTTGTTCAACCATGTTAATTTTAAGGAAAAAATCATAACGCTCCATAATACTGTTAATAAACTGTAAACGTTAATATTAAACCCATCTCATAATTAGTCAGTCCATCAATCATCTCATCTCTCAAAGCAGTTGGAGAAGACCTGTCACCCAATTAATGCTGAGTTCAAACATCAAACCATAATTCTAAAGCACACATATGTACTTAATTGTTAAAAATTCCCCAAAAACATAGCTTCACATATAATCACATCATTAATTGATTAGCATTGAAAACGCAACCTATAAATATTTGTAATGTCAAAACAGTGTTCTATAATCATTTCAGTACACCTAAAAATCCAAAAACTCTAATCTATCAATAATCATTTATCAACTCATAGCTTAATAAAATCAGTAAGTTTACAGTGTCAAATTGTTTGATTGGCTAAAGATATATTTTAAAAACGCTCCTCATCTATATGTTTAAACGTAAAATCAGAAAATAGAAAACCCTTCACTGTGCTGGTAACGTTAATTAGATGTTAATAATGATAAATGATGTCAATTTGATGTTACTTAAACTGTCAGCCAGATCAGTATGAATCTTAAAGAACCCTCATTCATGATAAATGTTAACACCCTCATTTGATGCGTGATGTTCTCAGCTCAGGGAGTACTATTCCTGTCAAGTTTTTCTGAATTGAGTCATCACTATCATTTAGCATTTTATCAGCAACACTTATGGTTTTTCTTCACACACCAAATTTCACAAGTCATTATAAGTGTTGTACAACATCACTCTAAAATGCTATGTCTTAAATCATGTTAGTAGTTATTAGAATTCATTATTATATATTTTCTGATAGTATATGTTAAAGAATAATAAAAATAAGTAAAAATAGTGAAAAAGAAGTAAAAAATAGTATATTCCAACTCTGTTAGCACTTGTAAAAATCTTACTTGCGATAAAAAAATCTATAGATTTGATTTAATCTGCCTGTAACTTTGTCACTGAGCATTGTAAGTGATTTAGAAGTCAAATATCTAGCAAAGTTTTTGCTCCTTACATCATATACAATATTCCAGCCTAATTCATTATCCAAAACAATCTCTAACATTTAGCTTATCTGATTATAGAAAAATCTATAGTCTTTACTTAAAATCATGAATTGTGTCTTTCCTGATTATCAATATTTAATTGTATTCAGTCATCCATAACACTGATACCTCACTGGTTATCCCATCTGTCCAGTTTACAGTTTTAGGTTCTTAATTCTCCTTATGGCATCTCATGTAGAGAGAAAACTGGGGGGGGGGGGGCATACAGCCTAAAAAGCATTCACAGTAGTCATTTTAGTCCAGCACGGCTCCAGAGACCTGTGAAGGGTTAATGTTGTTCAAGATATACAAATCACATATATTAAATAATCCTCAAACATAATCTTTGTTTAACCAATAATTTTTTTAAAGGGACTGGCACCGGTGAAGTGAAAAATTTCTCTTGAAAACATAAAATTACCAACTTTAATCTGGAATTCTTTAATTTTACACTAAGACTATATCTTAAAACTGCAGGGCACCTGCTGTGAGACAATTCCAGCTCTCATCACGCACTTCCAAGGGAGGGCATCACAACTCCTTCAAGACATTCTGTTAAATCTCATAGTTAATGTCGGCTTGTATTACCGTTTAAAACTGTCCATAATGTAAGGGTGGATCCATTTATCTGTCAATTAATCTGTGTGTGTGTGTGTGTGTGTGTGTGTGTGTGTATATATATATATATATATATATATATATATATATATATGTATATATGTGTGTGTGTGTGTGTGCACGTGTGTGTTTGAACGTAACGTCTATTTAACCAGGCAAATACCTTTGTAAGTCACCAGGCGTCCTCAGCAAAGGAGGCCTATCTTTGCTAAGGAGGCCCCGCGCCTCAAAACCTAACATGCATGTGTTAATCAGTGTTGCTCCGACATGAATAGTATACGTGTTTTTTATTTATGTAACTTGTAATAAATAATTCAAATCTTTAAACATTATTTTCTACTCTCCTCCCCTCCTGAGTCCAGATGAGAGCTGTCCACACCCCAACAGACCCTGCAATTTTATTTAATAAAAAAAACAAAAACCCTGAACATTCTACCTCAGGTGAAAATTCATGGCATTGATCATTACACATGTGTCAATAACAAAACAATTGAAATTGAAGATAAAAACTTATAAAATCAGAAAACACAAGTAAAAACACCAAAAAATGATCTTGTATTTACACAGATAAAAATGTACCATGGAAGATTAATTATGCACATATAATTACAATATTCCCCAAATACCGTTACCTTAGTTTGGATTAATTTCACAGACGTGTTAGAGTTTCCTCATTGATTTAATTTACTTTAACCTGTAATAGTACTAAATTTTGCTAGAAAAATATAAAACAAGGTCAGACGACACTGGAAGTCGTCTAATTATCTTGGCTACCAGGCTCCAGTCTGTCTTTACTCCAGACACCACACGATAATCCACACATATTACTGTAGTAAATGAAAAACATCTTTGACCTGTCACCTTATCTTCAGAGAGAAGGTCTTTGTGTGTTCATCTACTCACATCAACTTAATTGTGGAGATTTTTGCTTCCTGTCTGGGCTACCAGTTTGAACTGAACCACATCGGATCCTTCACATGTCATCGACAAACAACAACTTATATACAGGCATT